CTCTATGAACGTGGAGAAATGACCAAAGTTATACAAGTGTTCAGGTCTTTCATTCATAGGATCCCTATGAGTGGTCTACAACTCGATGGCACTTAACATTGTAAATGGTATTGCTTTCTTGATTTCCTTCTCTGAGTTCTCTTTGCTACTGTAGAGGAATCCTACTGATTTTTTTATATTGATCTTATATCTTGCTACACTACTAAATTGGCCTGCTAACTCTTACAGGTTGGTTTTTTTTGTTGTTGTTGAGTCTTTGGGGTTTTCTGTGTATACTATCATATCATCTGTATATATTGCCACGGTTTAACTATCTCTTTGCTGATCTAGATGCCTTTTCTTTCTTTCTCTTGTCATGTTGCTGGATCTTGTTTTTCTTGATGTTGAGATGAAATCCATACCGAAGCTTCGTCTGACATACTTTGGGCATGTTTCAAGGAGGAACTAATCCTTGGAGAGGGACTTCGTGCTTGGAATGGTGGTGGGATAGAGAAAAAGAGGAAGATTATTGATGAGATGGACTGATACAGTGTCTGGGGTAATGAGGGTAAGTGTGTCAGAGTCAGTAAAGTTGGCAAAGGATTGTTGTACATAGGGTCGCTATGAGTCACAAATGAATTGATGGCACCTAACAATACTTTCTTACTCGAGAACCTCAAAGCAGACTGTACCACCTTGCTCTATTGAGTGTAGAAAGAGAAGAAACTGGAAAAAAAATTACTTTGAGCACCTCATAGACCTGTTTTCTTCAGTAAGCTCAAGGCATGTGTAGTTGAAATTTTCATCTAGTGCCCAAACCCACTACCTTTGAGTTGATTCTGACTCAGAGCAGGAGAGAGAACTTCCCCACTGGGTCTGTAAGGCTGTAAACTTTACAGAAGCAGCCTTCCTCCTGCAGGATGGCTGGTGAGCTTGAACCATTGACTTTCTGGTTAGCAGCTGAGTGCTTTAAGCACTTCACCACGAGAACTCCTCATGTAGTACCATGATGTGTTTGTTGTTGTTGCTGTTATGTGCCATCAGGTCGGGACTAACCTACAGCTGACCCTCCAGCAGGTTTTCAAAGGCAGTAAATCAGAAGACGAGATTGCCCCTTCTTCTGTGGAGCAGCTGGTGGATTTGAACTGCATGCCTTTTGGATTACAGTGCAGCTTCTTACCACTAGGCTATCCAGAGCTCCTATGATGTATTTGTTATTGTTGTTGTGTACTGTCTAGTTGGAACAACCCCCAACCCATAACTGATCCTCCAACAGGTTTCCAGAGACAGTTAATCACATGGGAGGAGATTACTCATTTTTCTCTCAGGAAGCAGCTGGTGGATTCGAACCGCATGCCTTCAGAATTGCAGCACAGCTAAGCCATGAGAGTTCTCTTTGTTTAGCAAGGTATTAATGAGCTTTACTTGTATTTTTGAGCAGGTATTATTGTAATGAATGAATAAGGGTGACAGAAGAACTGATGCCTTTGAAGTGTGGTATTAGAGAAGAGTACTGAATAGCCCATGAATTGCCAGAAGATCAAACAGACATGTCTTGGAGAAGGTACAGCCAGAGTGCTCCTTGGAGGCAAAGATGATAAAGCTTCATCTCACATACTTTGAATATGTTGTTAAGACAGGTTACTTCTTGGAGAAGGACATCATATGTGGGAAGGTGGCGGGCCAGTAAAAGAGGAAAAGACCCTTGATGAGATGGATTGACATACTGTCAGGAGCAATGGGCTCAAGTGTGTCAGAGAGTGTGAGGATGGCACAGGATAGGCCAGGGTTCAGATCTGTTGACCACAGGGGGTCGCTATGAGTTGTACTCAACTCAATGATAGCAATAATATATAATATTGCCAAGTTATCTAAAAGATAGTAAAAGATGCTTGGAGAAGGATGCAATTCCAGCGCTCGCCATGTGTTCTTTTCCTTCGATATACCTCTGGAATTAACAGCAGCAGGCAAGGCACACCACATCTCAGATCATCAGGTAAACTGGATTGGTTTCAAAAGCTATTGTTCCAAGTTTACTTTTAGTGTTTTGTGTTGTTTGGGCTTTTTTTAACTAATAGGCTAGGGGTTTTCCCCCTGATTTTATTTTTGTAATTGTGATTTGAGTGAAAGTTTGACCCCAAGCAATTGGTTTTGCACTCTACCAGCCATATATTTTGTTTTATAGCACTAATTACATTACTCACAATTTAACCACACTCTTCTGACTTCTTCCTTATGATTCCCACTTCCATCTAGCTTCCTTTCTCACCATCTCCTGCCTTGTGGGTTTTATCCCAAATGCTGTCCCTTGACCTTATATGGTTTTCTGTTGTTGTTAGTATGACTCATTGTGACCCTGCGAACCACCAGTCTGAACCATGCACTATCCTGTGCCATTCTCATAATCTCTGACTCACTGTGGTTTGGAACAATTTTAATTTTACAGAGAAATTGTGCAGAGAGTACAGAGAGCTCTGTACCTCTTCGTCCCCCTTGTCGGTGATTTCTCCTCGTATTAACATCTTGGATTCTGATGGTGCATTTGTTACAATTAATAAATGGATACTGATATCTTAATAGTAACTAATGAGTCCCTGGGTGGTGCAATTATCAAGCCAGTAATTGCTAACCCTCCTGACTGAAAGAGTGTAGAATCGGGTTCACCCAGAGGTGAGTCAGAAGAAAGGCCTGGCAACCAGTTTCCAACAAATCAGCCCCTGAACGCTGCCTGGAGCAGAGTTCTGCTCTAACACCCAGTCCCCACAAGTCAGGATTGGCTCTGCTGTGACTGGCTGGTTGGTATTATCAACTAAAGTCCATAGTTTACGTTAGGGTTCACGCTTGTGTTGTTCAGCCCAAGAGTTCAGAAAAAGGTATCATCCTGTGTTTCCCTCAATACAATATCAAGGAGAAGAGTCTCACTGCTCTAAAGCACTTCCCTCTCCCTGTGTCCCCACCTAACCCTGGAAACCACTGACGGTTTTACTTGTCTTATAGTTTTGCCTCTTCTGGATCATCATACACTTTTAGTTTTGAACAAATACTGTACTTACACATCCCAAAAATCTAAACAGTGCAAAAAGGTCTCACTGGGAACTCTTTCTCCTGTTCCTGTTACAATCTAACTACTCCCCAGCTCCCACCAAACCACAGAAACCACTTCTATTAGTTTCCTATGCCTTTCCTCTAATGTTCATTTAAGCGCGGCCACAGCAGGAAAGCTCATATTCTACAGAAATAGCTTTCAGATGGAGTTTCTAGGTGGTCCTATACAAATACTCTCTACTGAAACCAGGAAGCCCCCTGAGGCTCAAAGGAACAGACCCCTGGAACTGCATCCTCTTACCAAGGAACCACAGCAACCAGACGCAAAGCTCTCTAGCCTAGTGGTGCCATCCAACACAATTACCATGGGCCACAAACTCGACTCACATCACTGTTGTCAAGTTCGAACTAACTCATAGCTGACCCTCCATAGGTTTCCGATGCTGTAAATCCCTGCATAGAAAACTGCCCATCTTTCTCCTAAGGAGTTGCTTGTGGATTTGAATCACCAGAGAGGAAGTACCTTTGGGTTAAGCCACACAACTCTGTTTATGCCTTGGGCCCAAATGAATATTTAAGTGGTTGTTGTGTTGTTGATTGCCACCGAGTCAAGCATGACTCATAACAACTCTATGAACAAAAGGCCTGAAGCCTTTCTATAACTATCGACATTTATCAAAGTTCAAAGCATTTCCAGAGGCATGTTGTTTAGGAAGTGGATGCCACTCCTGCTTCCAAATTTAAGTGGTAAATAATTAAAATTTAATATCATGGGGGAAATTTGACTTCCTGGTCCTCCTGGTCACATTTCAAATGCTCTGTCACTTTGTGTGGCTAGTGGCTACCATATTGAACAGTCAGAACATGCCAGTCACTGCAGGAAGTTCTGCAAAGTGCTATTCCAGTGTGGTGACTCAATATAGAGAAGGGTTCAGAGCCCTTGTTCTTAAGGTCACTATGAGTCATACCAAACTCGACAGCACTTATCAACAAATTTAAGAAAGGGAAGAATGATAACTAAATGCAAAGTGTGTTCCTGGAACTGGAAGAAGGACATTATGTCTCAACATGAAATCTGTACTAAGTCTGTAGGTTAGTTAACAGTCTTGTGAATGTTCTATTGAACATTATACTGAGATCGTCTCCAACATTAACATTTGGGAAAGCTGTGTGAAGGGTATTTAGACATTTTCTGGGCTGTTTCTGCAGCTTCTTCTTTAGCCTGAAGTGATTTCATAATGAAACGTTTAAAAAATATATCCTAAAATGAGAAGATAATTGCATGCCTCCGGAACTAAGTATGTTTGTAAATACACGCAGTTGTAGCTCAGCATTCATAAAAGCCGATGAATCTGTTGTTGGTAGATTCCCTGAAGAAGCTTTTTGACTCAGTTATACGACAGGACAGAATAGAAAGCTGCACCCTATGGTTTTTAGGCTGTGATCTTTATGGGGGCAGGTAACCATGTCTTTGTCCTGCAGAGCTACTGGGTGGATTCAAACCGCCAAGCCTTCCATAAGCAGTGTTAACCACTGTGCCACCAAGGCTCCTGAGCAAATGATATAAGGGAGCCCATTTTGTAATGATGCCTGGAGTCCTTTTGCCAGCATAGAGTGAGAGGAATGGTGTGTTTGAAATCAGCTGTGTGACCTAGCCAAGCCATTTCTCCGAGACTCAGCGATCTCTCTGTCAGATCCCCTTGTCCCTCAAAGGGATGGTGAGAGGCTCCGTGGAGATGAAGGAGGTGAAGGTGAGCTTAGAACTGCAAAGAACCAAGCCCGTAGGCAAAGAAGATCTATGAAAGCTGACCAGGTCTTTCACCTAATGCTTGTCAAAAAAGATCACAAACATTTGCCAGCCGGTCACTGCATGACCAGATGTTTCAACAGAAGAGGCTGGAAGTGTGTTAACTGTGGGGATTTGCAGCCCTTAGAATGACGGTCATGGTTCTGAGGTCCCAGGTCGGCCTTTTCAGTTACATGGCTGTGCATCTCCTGGGGGCTCCGGGGTCTGCATTTACTTTCTTTCTGATGCTTTCTGCAAAGACAAGAGTCCAGTGTGCCATGTTGTCTGAACTCTGACACTCAGGGCTAGCTTTGTGTTTCAATAGCCTGCCAGAATTTGTACTGAAAGATGCAGCAATACTAGAAAAAAAAACAAAAAACCACAAAACCTCATCCCTGCTTCCTCCACCTTTTGCTTTCCTGTCCTGTCCCCACACAGTCTGCCTTTGCTCCTCATGCCTGTGGCAGCTTCTCCTGCCTGTGGAGGTGAGGAGCCACCACACGGGGAGCTTTTCTTTCTTCCCTTTTCAGTCATACACTGCTTCTCCTTGCTGCTGGACAGCTAATGTAAACTTCTCGACAGCAGTGATGGTCTAATGGCCCGTCCTGGGGCTGCCCCAACATGCACCATGTTGGCAGACATGATGATATGGAAGATTCTTTTATCACAAGCGGATTTTGTCCTTACCGTGTCACTAGTAAGGGAACCTTCTCTGCCACCTCCCTGCTGGCCCCTCAGTGTGGTCTGAGTCCCCAGTCAGGCTTTCCTGATTGACAGACTCAGATGGGTTTTGCTGGTCTTGAACATTTTAGTTCACCAATTCTAACTAAAGTTGAAAGCCTTACTGGTCTGTGGTGTCAGGAGCCATTTGTGAGCCCAACCCATTCTCATAGAGCTGTGTGGCTCCCCAGTTCTGGGGCCTGGCACTACCCTGAGGCAGGAGCTGGGCTGAGAACCCTCTTACCAGCCAGGTCCCTCCTGCCAATGGCCACAAGGCCCTCAAACAGCACTTTGCTGGGGTTCTCGCCGGCTGTGCCCACACCATGCAACCAGATGAGCAGCATCCGATGGCCGTGCTCCTGGAAACTCTTGGTGCCTGAGGTTAACGAGGGGGGAAGAGTGAGATAGAGAGGGAACAATTAAGGCCACCTTGACAGAGCCAGGTCTCAGCCTGTGTCTATGCCTCCCCCATGGCCTCCTGAACTTCTCAGAATGGGAGACAGGCCAGGGCTTACTTTACCAGGCCCTCTGTGAGTCTCAGAGCTCAGCCTGGAGACAGGGGAGGGGAAGAGAGGAGATGCTTCTCTCCAGCTTTCCTGAACATCTGTCCTGTATACATCACTCTGAAGTAAGATGTGATTGTTGTGGTGCTGTGATGCCCACTATCTCCTTGGTTGCGCTCAGGAATCTATGCTTTACATGTTGCTGTTGCTGTTATGTTCCAACTCAGAGCTGACCATCCAGTGGGTTTTCAGAGGCTGTAAATCACAATGGTGGAGACTGCCCATCTTTCTCCTGAATTACAGCTGGTGGATTTGAACCACCTGCCTTTATATTGGCAGCACAACTCCTTACTCACTAGGCCATCAGAGCTCCCTTACGCCTTGCATATTATTGGCCCTATTTTACAAATTAGAAAACTGGGTCATCAGAGATCATCATCTTCCTGGTATATCAGTGACTCTCAACCTTTCCTGCTCATTGGAGCGATCTGAGATGTTTCAGAAAATACTGGCATGTCCGTCCAGTCTCAGCAACTCATGCACGTGGGTCTGGGGGGTGCCAGGGAAATGAGCATAATAGGTGACACCGTCAGAGGAGCTGACAGCAAAATTACTGTTTATAAAATTTTTGTGCATTATTTCACCAGAAATTATTGCTTATTTTTATAAAAATATCTATGTATGCACACCCATGTTATAGCAGCTTTGTTCACAATAGCAAGGAGTTGGAAACAACCTAAGTGCCCATCAGCAAACGAATGGATAGAGAAGCTATGGTATATTCACACAATGGAATATTACACTGCATTGAAAACAAGGAACTCATGCAGTATTATTAAAAATGGGTGATCCTGGAGGACATTATGCTGGGTGAAGTATCTCGGTCACAAAAGGACAAATACTGCATGGTGCCACTGTTGTAAAACAGGACTGACATCGGGGTTGTGGGGAGACTGAGAAAGATGAGTTAAGTAATACATACTGCATTGAAACAGATGAGGGAGAAAACTGTTTAAAAGGGATATGTGATTAGGTATTTTGTCATGACAGGAGTCCAGAGCAAAGGCTGCATAGTGGAGTGGACCTGGGGGGAGGGATTGTAAAACAATGAAAGAATTTGTCTTTTACTTTTCCAAGAGGGGAGTGTACTGGGGGGAAGCTTGGGAGGGGAGAAAAGTGCAACAATGAATGAATGGACATCCAAAGTCTCTGTAAATTTTCATTTAAATTAATAATAAATTTTTAAAAAAGAAAAAATATCTATGTAGTATTGTTGTTGATGGGTGCCATCGAGTCCCTACGGTCTGAACCCTGTCCTATCCTGTGCCATCTTCTTCATCTCTAACATACTTGAGCCCTTTGCTGCAGTCACTGTGTCAACCCATCTCATTGAAGGTCTTCCTCTCTTTCACTGACCTTTCCAAGCATGATGTGTCCTTCCAAGGAATAGCCTCTCCTAACAATATTCCCAAAGTATGTGAAATGAAGCTTCCCTATGCATGTTCCCAAGGAGCACTCTGGTTGCACTTTCTCCAAGACATCTCTTTTTCTTATTTCTGCCAAAAAGTTCATCACATAGAGTATTCATCTCTAACACCACAATTCAAAGACACCAATTCAACTTCTGTCATCCTGATTCATTATCCAACCTTCAGATGCATAGCAAGTGACTGAAAAAGAGCATGGCCCAAATCAGCTTTCTTGTAAGTCACTGATTTTGTCAAGTTTTAGCTACAACATTGTGGCAAATTACTTTTTGTGAACTCTATCAATAACATTTTTTCCTTTTTTAATTTTTTTATTATTATTAATTTTAATGAAAGTTTACAGAGACTTAGGGCTTCCATTCATTCATTGTTGTACTTTTCTCCCTGCCCACCTCCCCTCAGTTCACTCTTCTCTTTGAAAAGTAAAAGAAAAATTCTTTCATTGTTATGCAATCCCTCCCCGCAAGTCCACTCCACTATGCAGCCTTCATCCTGGATTCCTGTCATGACAATAATACCCAATCATATATCCCTTTTAAACAGTTCTCTCCCTCATTTGTTTCAATGCAGTATACATCATTCCTCCCCTCCTTTTCTGTCTTCCCTCAACCCTGATGTCAGTCCCGTTTTACAACAGTGGCCCTGTGCAATATTTTCCTTTTGTGACTGAGATATTTCACTCAGTATAATGTCCTCCAGGGTCACTCATTTTGTATAATATTTCATGAGTTCCTTGTTTTTCAATGCTGCATAGTATTCCATTGTGTGAATATACCACAGCTTCTCTATCCATTCGTTTGTTGATGGCCGTTTAGGTTGTTTCCAACTATTTGCTATTGTGAACAAAGCTGCGATAAACATGGATGTGCATATCAATAACATTTTTGAGGATGAAGTAGTAACTGAAGGAAAAGAACTAAAACAATCTTAAAGGGCTTCTGCTCAGTTACTAATAATGTTGTTATTCAGTGTTGAAATATTTCACAGAACAATTTTGTGGTAAGTATTCACGTAATCTAAAAAAATACTTCATGTTAATAATGTATAACTAAAGCACATATTACTTCCACAAATAGAATTGATAACATTTCTAAGGGTTCTGTATGGGCTGGAATGGGAGGAGGTTCCTGGAGGGAAGGGTGACATCACGAGTTGTCACCCTGGCTGACACTCTAGTGACATCATGGTGTAAGTAAACTAGGCCCTGAGGTTTGTTTAAGTGTCTTAGATCATTTCAATGTATTTCTGTTTGGGGACTGTTGCTTATATTGAGAGCCCCAGGGTGGGATTAATGTGTTATCAAGCTCTGTGACTCAGTCTTCCTCAAAGCTGGACTGGCCACTTGGTGGGGACACATGTTCAGGGACAGCCATCAGGCCCAGGTGACTTCATTCACTGCCTGCTCTGACTTTTATGCCTCATTTTGGGCCCTTGCTCTTGTTGTTTTAGATGCCACCGAGTCAAGGATAACCCACGAGGCCTCTATGAACAACAGACCTGAACCTCGCCCTCTCCTGGACTATCCTTACAGTCTGTTTTGCTTAAGTACATTGTTACAGTCACTGTGTCAGTCCCTCTCCTTGAGCATCTTCCTCTCTTTTTCTGACCTTCCATCTTTCTCAGCATGACATCTTTTCCCAAGGACAGACCTCCTTCCTAACAACATGCCCAAAGTATGAGGTGAAGTTTCACCATCCTTGCCTCTAAGAAGCATCTTGGTTGCACTTTCTTCAAGAGAGACTTAACTGTTCTTTTGGCATCCATGGCCCTTGGCAGGCACTAACTCATTATGATATAAAGGCCCAGACTATAGAGTGCAGAGCCTGCTTGGCCTGTCTCATAGCGGGCACTGTGCTAAATACCATACACAGCACTGAGGAAGTGAGTGGTTCCCTGTACGCTGCCTCCAGCCCAGCTCTGTCAGACTTGAGCCCCTGGTTTTGAACACCGAGCCACACTGCTTGTATCTATATCCCCAGACCTAGTCCGAGGCCTTCACATGAGTACATGGTGATGAATATGGGTTGCTTAGACTTTTCCCTCAGCAGAGAAAATGGAGAGAAATCCTTCAAGGGGCTCCCCCACCCTCTGCTGGTTGACCTGGGGTGGGGAGGGGCAAGGTGGTACCTGTCCACTGCTGCTCAATGGCATGGATGTGGGCCTCAGTGAACTCCCAGGAATACGCGAGCTTCTTCCACTCGTAGGGATGCAGGTACCTGGAGGCCAGTTGCCACAGCAGAGAGCGAAGCTGCTGCGTCTCCTGCCGATGGTCCGGCTTAAAGGTCAAGCTCTTCCCAGGAAGGTCACTGGAGTCCTTGCATGAGAGGTGGTCCTGTGGGGCAGAACAGTAGCTATCTGAGGGAAAGCCCTGCCCAGTTCGTCTCCATGGTCGTGGACGGGGCAATGAAGCATGAGGCCCCTATTACCAATATATTATGGCCTCTCCTGGGAACTGGAGTGGTGGACCTGGGGCTTAATGTCCACTCAATTTTCTGACTCCATGATTTGCCATGACCTCTCAAGCTACTGACATCATTCCTCCACTCAGAATTCTTTTCCTCCCTCCCTTGCCCTTCTCTCCTATTGGCACAGTTGAGAGACCATCCATATGTCACTTCCTCCAGGAATCCTTCTCAACTCCTCTGGTCAGATACCACTCTTCCCGCCCCCCCATGTTCTATTAGCGTGCTTATCAACAGAAGCTGCCCAGACCAGGCAGGTCAAGAATCATGCACTAGATTTATGGGACCCTGTTGTTGTTTTTGAATACCATCATGTTGGAACTAAACCATAGCTGACTCTCCAGTGGATTTTCAGAGACAGTAAATCACGTGAGAGGAGATTGCTCATCTTTCTCTCACAGAGTAGCTGGTGGATTTGAACTGTGTACCTTCGTGTTGGCAGCTCAGTTCCTTACCACTAAGCCACTAGAGCTCCACTGCTGGACTCTTAAGTAGCAAAACAAGCAGGGTAGGGCTATAGAATTATTTCCCAAAGCAGACAATAAAAAGAAAAGTTACAAAAGAATTCTGTAAGGGCATACATGAAACCCAGGAGAAGTTAAGCCATCTGCTTCGGTTGCTAAATTTGATTGCAGAGTGAGACATGCAATCCTTATTCCCAGTCAACAGTCTTCAGACTGAAAATCTGGGACACGACCACCAACAAGTTGGGCTCTCACCTGGCTGGCCGAAAGCTCTTCTCAGCCTTGTCTGAACACTGGAATCATCTGCTGGGGTTTAAGGAAATTCTGATCCCTGAATCCCATCTTAGAGATTCTAATTGAGTTGGTCTAGGAGCCACAGGTTGGGGATTTGTGATCCTAAGGTAGGCACATTGCCTTAGTGAGTAAATACTTTCACACCCTAAAGTTGCTTTGAATTAAGTGCAAAGATGAGTCATGTAACCAAAGTATTAATATTTTAGGATTTCATTTAGGCGTAATCTGTGATATGTAAAGAAGCTGTTAATGGTTAGGAGAATACAGTGCTTCAATAGAAGAGAGAATCTCATGATTTCTATTGAAATTGATGGTTGAACAATTGATTTTGGAATTGCAGTTTTAAATGAGCAGGTCAGGGGAAGCTTCCCAAGTTTTATAAGCAATACTAAAGTGTTTAAGACCGTTTTAATTCTTTTTATTTATAGGTTTGATTTGTTGAGTTTGCTGAAAGGATTTAGAAAGCGAAGTGCTTAAAAAGAAAATCTATTACTTTTCTCATTTAAAATGTTTAAGGTAGTTTAATTCATTAGGTTTAAACATGGATTGTCAGCCCAAGTCTTCCCTTCATTGACCAGAGTTTTTAAAAATTTGAAGTTTAGATCCAAGATGGCGGCAGAGGCAGAGACAGTGTGGTGAGCTGCGGGAGCAGCAAACCACTTAAAGCAGGGCCATTATGGCCTTCCACAGACTTCGGCTTATTGATAATTGAACACTTAAACAGTTGATGACTGGCCCTCAGTGAAGATCGAGGCTCAACAACAGGAATTCAAGGATTCCCAAGGAGAAATGGGTGAGTCTCATGGCTCCCAACACCACCCCCCCCACCACCGCCTGCAGAGCCCTCACTGCACAGCATAGCCACTGCAGCTCCATGAGGCTTCCACAGCCGGAAGGAATGGATTCCTTCACCCAGGATGGATGCTGGGCACCAGCCCTCCTCAAGACTGGTACAGTGAAGCCACCACACTGCCGCAAGGTGGACTTGGTCTGGAGAGAATTCTTGGAGCCAGGATGGCGGCTGTGAGGGAAGCAGGCACCCTCCGGCCGCCCGCACAAGAGGGGCCGCACACCAGCCGAGCGCCCGTGCGGTGGGGTGGGCGGGTGTGCCCCCAATGGCCGCCTGTGCTGGGGGGGCCGTGTGCCTCCCGCAGGCCTCCTGCACTGGGGGGGGGCGCGCCCCACTGGCCACCTGTGTAAGAAGTGGGGGATGGGATGCATGACCACCATCTGCAGGTTTGGGTCTCCTTGGACAGGCCAAAGAAGACGATTACCTATGCATTAGACAGGCCAAAGAAGATGATTACCTATGCATCGGACAGGCCAAAGAAGATGATT